AACACATTCTGACAGTATAAACTATTTTTTAAATAAAGGATTTTAAGTGTGTTTTTATGTTGATGTGGTTTCATTACCAGTATTTAAGCATGCCATTCATTCGCCCCATTAGGCCTTCTCTATAATTCACCAGCTGAATGGAAGATGAATGGATGTGCTTTGTTGCTTTAGCACACTGTAACCTTGCAGATCGGTAACACTGACTCAGAAAGCTGCAGCACATCTTTATCAACAACATCCCATCAGACCATCTTTTATAAGACCTAAATAATATGCAATATTCAAGTCTGCATCAAGTTTAAGACTTTAGTTCCATGCAGTGATGACTAAGGAACCTCCAATTGCTATAAAAGGTTGAAAGCTAAGTCCACTTAAGATATATAATTGACCTTATCTCAACTATTTATAAAAACGTAATGGACTACATATCTAATTATTTTAAACGAACAAATAGTACCTTGTGATTATTTATTTTAGTATCTTTTAAGGGACTAGTTATTTAGCCTCATCGTGGATGTAATAGCTCTGGAGCTCATGTAAGTCTGCTCCTGTGATGAAGGCTTTAGTAAACAAACATTCGTTGTCATCTTAAGTCACATCAAACAAACTGAAACATTTATTTCCCCTGAATACAATTACTCACATTTAATGAGGCATGGATGTGTAATAGAGGGCAGTGTGTCTCTGATAACTGAGATACAGAGCGACTGAAGCATGCGTCACCCTGATGTAACCCTGTGAGAGACGGCTTTCAAAAAGGTAACCGCAAACCACCTGTGCAATATGAGCTGTGCTCAGTTTTTAATTGGGGAGGGAGGACACATCCAACCTCGCAGTGAAAAGGACTCCGCTCATTCAAGAAATTCATTATAAGCTTTAAATAAAAAGTATTAATTCCTTTCATTATAAAATTGATTTAAAGATTATTTTCTCAATTAATCAACTAGTCGTTATGTCTATTAAATGTTAGAAAATAGTAAGAAATGGCTGTTGTAACTTTAGAGTTGGAAGATGTCTTGTTTTGTCCAAAAAGCTCAAGAAAACAAAAAAAATCATCAAATCCAGATATTTGAGAAGCTGTAAAATCATTGAAATATGATTTCTAATATAGTTGACTCATTGTTGCAGCTGGAAATGCAACTCTAAACCTCTTTCATAAGAGCTAGTTCTCCTATAAGAGGATCACATTAGCGATGAGTAACCTGTCCCATCTTTGAGTACATTCATGCAGAGGAATCCGTCTTCGCTGTGACGACGTTGACTGATAACTGGATTTGAAGGTAATGAATGGAAATCCCCGGTGACCACATGGAGCGATTTTTCACCTCGGCTGTATCTGCTGACAGACACTGTTCCTAAATACTCGATGACCCTCTCCATCACTGCTTCATCTCTGAAACCCTTTCTCCATTCTCTCCCTCCATTCAATTCTAAAAGAGGTCTCCATGGACCCCCTCACTGCTCCACAATAGAAAGACACATACTCGTTTTTTTTTAAATGACAATATGTCTTTTATTTTCTATATTTTAAAGGTTTATTATTTACAAACAAAATAAACAAAAAAAAAAAAATCAAAAAGATTTTTTGACAAACACTGTTTGTCTGCATATTGTTGTAAGAAAGTTTACATTTATCTTTCTTTCTTCCGTATCAAGTAACCGACTGATAGTTCTTTCCCTCTAAGCCTTGGATTACATAAATGAGCTGAACAATGACCATGTGAGTGGGGTTTAAAGAGCTCCGCCCCTCTCTCCACTGCGCACATCATCAGTAAACATATGAAACCTGTGGTCATCAAACCCAAATCAACATTTGGTTCGTCCTCTCTTCTTTTCTTTTTTTCTCAAACCAACAAAAGAACAAACAAAAAGAAATATACAAATATATGTGCTGGTTTGTTGAGAGTCTCTATACTGCTAATACGTAAGCTCGTTATTTTAGTGTCACCATTAATGCCCATTCCAGTATGTTAATTGTGATTGGTATAGTGAAAAAAGCACATAGTTGGGAAGCTCTCCCTCCAAAGGCAAGTATCAAAAACAGCACAAAGCAACAGTGCTGCTATCCATCTTGACTGAACTAGTTCCTATACACTATGGCATATTCACGATTAAGCGCTTTTCCTTTTATATAGAACATTTCCCCCTTCATTTTGAACCTCATTCAGGATCAGGGCAGCACGAATTCTCTGGGATATTGCTCCCTTACTTACTCATTCAACATCTAACCTAGCCGAAATAATCTGTACCTTTTTATTTATTACTAGTAAATCAGAAAGTGCAATTTAAAACAATAACAATGAATGTTTCGCTTTGGCCAGTTTCCTTCCACACATCAATATACAACCCAAACATCAGTGGCTAGCTACAAACAAAGGTATAACGGTGCTCCGAATTTGTACAATGTCTCATCGAGCGTGATATTACTGCTAAAGATTGCACTTTTTTTCTTTTTAACTGTACATAACCTCATTAAATATGCTATATAGCTTGACCGAGAATGTAAAACAAAAAAAAATCCTGCATCTAGAAGTTCACATTGCAATTAAAGATACCAATTAGATAAACTGAGACATCTGGCCATCATTGCTTATTCCTTTCCTGTCTAAAAACACTGAGACATAGAACACATTGAGTATAGTAAGAATGAATGCGCAGTTGTGTGCAGAAGTGCCCCCCCCCCCCCTCCCCGTACGCACCAAGCTCACACTCAAAACAAAAGGATGGAACATGGCTATAGTTTAGGCACAAATACTTAAGAATGTCCATGTGAAGAGTCAATGCTTCTGTTCACACACAGATAACGTCTAGGCAGACAGACAATGAACAAAACATAATCTAACATTACATTTAACGTCGACATTTTTGAGATAGTATCTTTTTTTTTAAGTATTTGTGACAAGTGCATGCTTTCATGACATTGGTGGGTTGACTGTATTGGTACACTATCGACACAATCTGTAGCGAAGACTTGTAATCTTTTAAAAAAACGCTATCTCAGAGGGCTTAGTCACTCTCATGGGGGCCATGAAAACTGACTGGAATAAGAAAATCCATCATGACAGCAGAATACTTCTGTCACTCACTTTATATGAAGATTGCAGGAAAGGCCTCACGCACGCCAATCCACTATCTGCAGGGAAATGGCCCGTAAGCCGTCGCGGCTGGCTTATTTTAGTTGAATCATCAAATACTTGTATTATTGTAGGATTAAAATGCTCCAATTTAGCTTTTATCCTTTTTTGATTGAGGCACGATATTCTGGCTTGACCTTGCTTCCCTTTGCCTCGACATCAGTCTAGGTCAGTTTAGAGTGCCTAAGCCCACAAAATGGATTTACACGAGACAGAAACCTTAATGCAAACCAGCATTTCTTTTTCCGACACAAAAACACAGCTCGGTGAAAATGTCCCCTCTTCACACTTGAGCGACTGCATACATGACGCCTTTAACCTCAAACAAATGAGTTGGAAAACGTCGTGGCAGGCTCTTCAACTACAATAATTGTGATGTGACAGCGTACAGTACAGTTATACTCAAGAAGCAGCTTTAAAAAAAAAGAAGAAGTTTGATGAACAGAAAAAGCCTAATTTCCATCTTTGAACAAAAAACGATCCTGGGCAGTTTTTAGGGAATGAGGCGAGTCAAAACGACACATTTACTTTCAATAGGATGATTTTTGAAAACAAGTTGTGTATTATATTGTATATGTTCACCTGATGTGAAATTAAAAACTACACTAGGGCTAGGGATAGTATACATAGAGAGGGATTGTTAAATGTCCTCCAATCAGGCGTTCCTCAGCATCAAGTAGTGCTAGCTATTGCATTAAGGTTCGTTTATCTCTTATGGAACATAATGTATTTTGTCACTAAACCTTTTTCGCGTATAGATGATATCCAGGTTCCTGATAGAAGTAAGACATTGTTATGATAGAGAATGCACCACACAGTATCTGTAAATACTAGATCTACAAAACTATTTACAGCACACATATAGGTAATCTTTATGTCACAGTCTATTGCATAATGGTGATAATCTTTAGTTTATAAATATTATAAATATACACAGAATTTTTAAGCAACATTACGTAACATCTCAGCCATCTGAAATTAGGAATAGAAAAACAATAGCATCCATCCGTCTGTCTCCACACTCCATTCTCCTTGAAAAGAAACAAAGAAAGCAGCATTTCTATTATCTATTCCCTTTGGACCCATAACACTGTCATGGTTTGTATGTGAGCCGCTGTGGGGATATAGTGACCCGGCATACGGTATTCTGTCGCCGAGAGCAACGTAACACTTAGTTTCAGTTTCTGTGTTGGTTTCTGAAATGAGGGTTCAGGAAACTGGTACGAGATTCATTTCATGAGTGTGTGCTTTTTGAGATTATTTGTCAGAGTTGCTTGCATGTATTATTCCACAGTGGTGCCTAAAGCTGCTTAATAGGAGAAGATCATTTTTCTCTTCCTCAATGGTAAAAAAAAAAAAAAAAAAAGGAGGAAATATTCATCGTCAGAATCCACAATGCATTCCAGTTAAAAAAAAGAAAAAAAAAGAAAAGAAAAGAAAGAAATAAACTTCATACATTGTATATAATTCTTTATATTTCTCAGAAAGGAAGACTCATGTTTATACTACAGCTTTTAAATTGCCATTGCCAAATATTCTAGTTGGATTTTACACACGCGGTCACATGCTCGCACACTCTCACACACCCATACATACAGCAGTATATATATATACATATGTATATATATATGGCGTCAAAGAAAAGAGATGTATCTGTATAATATACATTCTTAAGTTTAGGGAGACAATGTGTCTAAAATATAATACAAGGGCTTGTATGTACAGGATTTCTATGAGGCTATTTTAGAAGAAAAACTTGAGAGAAACAAAAATGCTGAAGTCCCTCATCTTTATCTCTTTTGTTACATCTCCACTTTAAAAATGAGTTGAAACAAGTTTAAAAAATGAAAAGGGAAAAAAATGGGATCATAAATTTGATGCAAAACGCATCTTGTCTTGCTCAGTCTCCGTACTGCTCAGGACAGAATCTCTCCTAGATCCGGGGGATTCCCTGTGCTGGGTCGAGGATGAAGAAGATGAAGCTGCCGCCGCCGCCGCCGCTGCAGCTGCTGCTGCCGCCGCGGCCGAGCGCACCGGGGGCAGGGCTCCGGACGACATCTGCCGGAATAGATTGACACGCTGGGGCACTGTGGTGCGGATGCCGCTCTGCAGACTCATTCCCTGGATCGCTGCTGCCGCCGCCGCCGCCGCCGCCGCCGGAGGAGCGATGGAGGCCAGAGAGTCTCCTGAGGCCGGGTGCACTCTGGGGCCGAGAGACGTGTCATGTGGCAGTGATGGTTGGGAGGCCGATAAATGTCTCACATCTCGACTCAAGCTGCCCGACTGCAGAGCCTGTGTGCTCTTGTGGATGTCCACCCGCTGAGGCGAGGGGACCTGCTGCTGCTGCTGAGGCGAGGGCTGCTGGGAGGAGGAGGAGGCTGCAGGAGACACAGCGGGCTGCTGGGCGGATAGAGCCGCTTGAGCAATGGGCTGCTGGAGGAGCGACAACTGGGAGCCTGTGCGCGAGCCGTACTGGAAGCTCCGGCCCGCCAGAGGGGTCTGCACGGAGGGACTGCACATGGCAGCCGTGAAGGAGCAGGGCGACATGATCGCTCCTTGTGGGTTCATGGAGGAGGAATTCAGGCTGCCGTGGGACATGCTGGGGGCCGGATAGACCCCCTGCGCCGCAGCGGCGGCGGCTGGCAGCATGCGGGCAGCAGAGGCATTGGCTATAGCTGAAGCACTGAAGGTCATGGGAACAGAGGACTGCTGAAACTGATTGGTGCCGAAGGCAGTGGGGAAGGGAGGCTGAGCCGGTGAGTTAATGATGGAGTTTCCTGACACTGGAGTTAAGTTCATCCCGGTGACTGACTGCTTGCGGTCCACCATCATCACCATCTCCCTGTCCTGACGGATTATCTGCTTCAGTATCTCGTTCTCCTGCGTGTTGAAGACGCCGGCGTTCAGATCCTTCTGGAACTTCTGCAGCAGCAAGGAGTTCTTCTTCCCTGTATGGGTGCAGTCAAGAGAAGTGAGCACAGACAGCAATGGCAAACTTTGGTTGCCCTTAACCACAGGAAAAGGGCAGGATACAGGACAATAATAATAAAGATGCAGCTTGTACGTTTTTGTAGGAAGACGTTTTGTCACTGCATCTTCAGTAGATGAACTTCATTCTCTTGATTCAACTATATTTAGTATTTACAAGCTGCATCCTTTCACGTCCACTAATATTTGTCATATTGAATATAAATTGTGAAGGACATTGAATGGTAATGACTATGGGAAATGTACGGTTTGAGACACATAAGGAGACAAAGATGACTAACGTATGACATGGTAGCGGAGACAGTGAAGGTGCTGATGTGGACGATGGAACACAGAGAATACTGATGAGTTGAACCCACACATCACGTTACTGGACAGATTTAGTTGAAGTTATTCGAAAAGGTCTAAACTCTAAGAATATTTAGAGCTACATTTTACTTAAATCACAAACACAAGTCTACTAAACACATCACAAGGACAATTACAGAACCGTATACAAAATATATGACAATAAAAACAAGCAAACAAAGATACAAAGACTTACTCTAACACACAACTACAGGTTGGTTATAGAATTATACATTTAACACCTTTATGGAAAACTAATCTTTACACCACATAATGCTGTTTTTTCATTTAAATGGAATTGTCTGATGATAAATAAAATGTTCAAAATGCACTGTGTTGTTTCATTTTGGAACTTTTGTTCTCTAATACTGTGAAGAAATCGTTTTTTAAGTGGTTTATATCTGACCTATAAAGGGCATTTGGGCCCAGAGACCTGTACATCTTTCCCCGCCTGTCACAGAGCGTGATAATAACAGCTTGACAGATGCTTTCTTCTAACATCGACCACTTCTGTGGTTTTGGGAGTTTGTGAGCATAATTGTGGTAAAATGTTTAGCATGAAATATGTCTTAAAATTCCACAATTTACAATAACCATAAAGAATGTTATCTATTTAACATATTTACTTTGAATGATTGTTTAAATGTATTTAGGGATGTGTTTCCTGTTATTACTGTTGACCTTGTGTATCGACAGGCTGTGAAGCATTACTCGTCGGTAAGGAAGACAGAGTTGACTTTTAGTGAGCTGAAGGCTTTAGCCTCAGTCAATCATTAAGCCCCGTCCTTGAGGGCAGGAGATTTCTGCGCCGGGTTTACAGTTGAGCTGCATTTTCTGGACGGCTTTCTCCCCTCAAGGCTGCCAACAAGCCGTGCATTCAGCTTTAACACAGGATTGATGTTATGTTTTGCAGATATTTTGTCCAAAGCTGACACTACAGGGTTGGGTTACAAGCTAAAACTAGCACCACATACTCACTATGAGACTATACTGTTGACTTACAATAATGCTCTCATTGCATTTGTAAAGGTGACAGGGTTAAACTCTGTAGATTGGAAGGACAACACATTATTTCTCCAAATGAAGCCTGTGAGGATTTGAATGTTTGCTGGTTTGAAACTATATCTTAAGATTTCAGGGCAACATCAGAGCTGCCCTTCGGGCATCTTCTAATTTCACTCCTAATCTATCTTTGACATGTTATTCTCTTTTTCTTCTTTATCTGTTAAAGCAAAAGATAAATGAACACACTTGTAAAAAAAAAAGGACTTTTAAAACTATATATACATACTTACATTTAAGTTATTTTAGGAAGCAAATTGTTTTACTTTACATATTTTTCTTAAATACCGCTACTTAAAGAATCTCAATTGCTGGCTGATAATCATGAGCATAATGAGTATATGTACAGTAAAAATTCATAGTCACGATAAGCTAAGAAAAAAGATTAACTAACCAAGTACCAGGCTGGAAACAGGTTAGTGTTACTTAAACTACATAACAGTAACTGTCATACACCCACGCACACACACAGACACACACACACACACTTACGATAACACGCCCGTTTGGGCACCTTGTTCTTATAGAAACACTAGCCTGCTTTAGGCAATCCATTTTTATACATATGCAACCCTCTAAATAATAAAGACTGACACTTTAAAATCCTACTTGTATATTATATGTTCCATAAATCCTGGACTGTTCCTGATTGAATACCAGTTCTGAACATGTTTGCAAGATGAAGCATTCCTGATCCATAAATTGACGTTTTTTTAAACATTATCAAGGGAATAAACTATTATCACCTAAAACAAAATGAAAACAAACAAACAAAAACATTAACAAAATGTAAACACCACTCATGGGTAAATAAATGTTTGATTTTTACATACAAAACGTGTTGAATAGAAATAAAATGTATCAGCTATGGGTCAAATCACCATTTTTAAATATGACAACTGCAGGATTGTGTTAGTAATTTGATATCCTGGCACAATAGTAACAGTAAGATTAGTTCAATATTAAAATGAATTTGATTTCAAATATGATTACAGTACTGTAGTTAACCCATATCTGACATTTAAAACATCACTTTTGTGAAACTATCTAAAAGCCAGTTAACACACCAAACAAACAAATCAAAATAACAATCAAAACACAAACATCATATAACTTGTAAAGTATTTGGTAAATAATAAGTAAACACAAATTTAGAGATGCATTCAAGGCCTTACAGAGACACATTTTTTATTCTGACTCGCAATGAAATTTGATATATAATTTCACCAAAGATTTGTTATCAATTGTTTTTGTTTTGAGTCCCTGCAGGACATGTTATTTTTCTTCAGTTTCTTCTTGTTGAAGGTTATCATAAGAACATATATTTAGAGAGGATAACTGGTGAAAATGTGTGAGAAAATGATTCCTAATGAATTAAATAAACGTCTGCCCTCCACATGTAATAAACGTGACATTATGTATCTTAAAGCAGTTTAAGACTTTCTTTGATTAATGTCAGAGAATTTTTCCTCCAAATTATTTAACACAAAAAAAAACCCCTCATATTTCAAGCCAGACAATCAGAAACAAACCTTTTTTTTCAATTGGTGAAAACATGAATAAATGATGATATGGGATTCCTGCATGTAAAAAAACTGTGTGTGGCATTGCATTAGTAAAGTATTTACTAATCTGCAGGCATGATTTAGTTTGTGAATACACTTTGAACAAAGGGTTCAAAGATTAAATAACATGTGTGTTCGAAATCCAGTGAATTATTCTGTAATAGTCTCTTACAAAATCAACATGGCATGTGACACTGAATAACTTTTGTTTCTTTGATTGTCTTTGTCGTTGACATTTTGAGTGTGTCCATCAAAACATCTGCAGGACTTGGCTGTGGGTGACTTGAGTTATGTGTCACTGATGCAGGAATCAAACAGTTCATGTAAGCTCCAGCAAGAGGTCAAACTCTTGGAGGATGAATTTGAGACCGAATCCATTTAGCAAGCTTCTATAGGTCAATTTGTCCCTGTTCGCATATTGGAATTGGAATAAAGTGTTTACCTGATGCCTACTCGTCGGCCAGGACACTCTTGAAAACGAGATGTGCTCGTCTCAAGACGGACTCCTGGTCAAATAATTTTTAGATAGATAGAAGATAATGTCAAATGTGCAACACGTTATTGGTTTCAAAGCATGGATACTTTTCTTCTTTCCTTTTTTTAGAGCAAGACAAGCATGTAACCAAATGCAGTTCATATATAGAAACGATACAACCAGCACGGCTCATGACAGAGTATCTTCCCTCGTATGAGACAAAACCCCCTTCATGGTTAGTCTGAGGATGGATCGAATGAATCAGCTGGTAGATCTCATCAAAAGGGCAAATGTAGATTTGGACTGTTGAGGCCAAACGGCATACATTATGTTAGGGCAAGTGAAGATTTGTATTTGATTTATGCTACTCCAAGAAAATGCAACCTTGTCTCCTGTGAATTGTGTTCAAGGGCAGATACTTGACAATTAGCGTTCAGTTATAACGCAAAAAGGGGGGGGGGGGGGGGGGGGATTCGTATATCACAGGGGAAAGTGAGTGTGTGGACATTTGGCTGGATAAAAGGCGAAAGCCAGAGATGGAGTTTTGCAGGGCTGCCCCTTAGATGAAAAGTTCATTAATTTATGTTTTTGGTCTAAGATGAATAATAATTATTCAGTCAATTAGTGTGTTTAAATACACAAGATTTAAAGTGTTGCTTTTGCAAGATTTTTTTTGGAGAAAAAAAATACCTATCAACTAATGAAACTCATTGATTATTGGACCAAACGTTTGTTGACTAATAATTATTTTAGTCAAGGACAGACCTACGGGTTTTTGTTGCGTCTTAAACAACAAAAACAGTATTGTCATTTGTTGAATTTAAACACTGACCACAGTTTTTCCCTAGAGTAGTTGTATTTGCCATAATGACTATTAATTAGTGCATAAATCATGAGCATATCTCAGAATAAACACTGATGTTGAACATTAAATTGCGTTAATCTGTTTAGTACAAACCAAAATGTTTTCAAAGTCTGAAAATGTGGGCCGTCCGTCATACAACATTTGGAAAAAGTCGTCACCCCTCACACTCCGGATTAGTTTACCTGCTCAGTTTAACTTATTTCTTGGATGGCTATGGGATCATGATTATATTATTTTATCCCATATACATTTAGCAAACATGGTTTGTATGGATTTTGGTGAGGACATGTTGCAGATATGTCAGATATTGTGATATAGCCCAGTCATCCAGCCACTATTATGTTGAACGTAATTCTGAGGAGAAAAGGTTGCCTCAACAGTGACATTGAATTCTGATTGGCTCTGAGCGGTCTTGTTCCAAATCTATTGTGCATTGCTTGTTGCTGACTTGCCTGACACTACAGTATTTCAATGTTGAGTCAACACTTGGGTTGCAAAGCAATTCAATATTGACGTGCCTGTGTCAGGCAAAATAATACACAAATACAAAGCCATGACAAATAAAAACAACGATAACAGATAGAAAAGTAGATACAGACTGCAAGCTTAACCACTGATATCAGACAACATTGGCACATTGTTATTATGCAAATTAAACTTCAGTTTTGCATTCAAGTGATATTGTTTTTCCCGTTAATAAATAGGGAAACAAATCACCAAACATTATGGCCTCGAGCGTTGTCAACAGGCTTATACGTTTGTTGGTTGTTTGATCATTTATGATGATAGGCTGCTCAGGTTGTCTGTGAAGCAGCCTTTAGGACTAATTTTATTATTTAGAAGGAAATAAATCGATTTCTTCCTGCACAATAAATTATTAATTAGCTGTAAAAGTCACTGTCAATTTTTCGTTTTCTGTGTTACAAAGGAGTAAGGAGCCAAAACAAAACAATAAAAATGTAATTTTGTAATCACCAGTAACCTGTCGCCTTAATAGCTAATTTAGTTGGTGAGCATCCTTTTGCTAAATTCTGTTTGTGCTTATTCTTAAGGATAAGTGCTTAAGGAGGAAAACACTATTCAAACTTGTATAATGTTGTCAGAATATTACACACCAACATTACGACTGCCACATAAGTTGCAGTGGTAAGGCGTAAGCTTAAGATCCTGCTGTAGTGCCTTACTGCCATCGTATAGTAGCTGAGCTACAAATAAAACAATATTATACTGTAAAAAGTAAACATGTGCTGTTCACACTTGTCCATACATAACTGAGCGCTTTAATCTGTACCTACAAATTGTCATTTTGTTGTCTTATAAAAAGGGATGGGTACCAGATCTTAAGATACATTCAGTAGTATCTAAGATATAAACACGTGATGAAAATAATCCTCAATATACACTAGCTAAATCCTTCTTGTTGCTTGACACTAAAAGGTACTATTACTATCAAGTAATTTATGTATAAAAAGTAAAAAAAGGAGAAAATTATCATTAGCCTACAAAAGAAAACCTATTGTATTTCTAATGCAGCAAAAATAAAAGCAAAACCAAAGACATATGTTCTACTTCCGTCAGTCAAGAAACTATCCTGCTGCACAATACTTTCAAATTATAATTTTTAATATATTAATTAATTAGTTTTATTTCCAATCAAAGTAGGCTATTAGAGCAGACTGAACACATTTGAATGAGTGGGAGAATGTGGAAAACAATTATTGCCCTGTTTATATTACATACATGTGCCCCTTTTTACCTGTTACAAATATATCTTTCTGAACCATTATATCTTATTGTACTACAATTGAACATGGCCAGGGTTCTTCTTTGAATCAGACGTTAAAAATAAGGAAGGTTGTTGAGGAGCTGAAGAAAACTAAACAGGGTCCTGTCTTTTGGCTGGACCACAGAGCTATGCTGTTTCTCAATTCGGTATTTCCCTTAGTACACAGCCACGTTGTACACTGTGAACAATTGGTCAGTGTGTGAATTACAACTGAGTAGCGTTGTCCCAAATCGCACACAGCACTGTGCCCTTCCGCCACTGTTGACTTGCTAGCTAGCTCCACCTCTGTTAGCTAGCTAGCTAGTGCTGCTGCTGCTGTTAGCTAGCTAGCTACTTCCACTGCTCTTAGCCGTTAGATAGCTAGCTAACAGCAATGTTAGCATATGCGGTACCAAATCATTCAGAACAGAGTAGTTTTATGTTTATGAAAAGACCCCCCAAAACCCCCCAATGTATTACTTTTATTTACAGTGCTGTGTTCACTGGAGCTTTTTGTTACTGAGCCAAGATGGCAATTGTTGGGGGTGAAAAGTGTTCAGTGTTCGGCACTTAACTTTTTGACCGTACTTTCAGTGCATTGCATTTTGCCATACTTAACAGTGTGAACGCAGTTACACACTCAAAATAGCAAGTGTAAGTACGTGATGTACTTATGTATGTGAATTGAGACACAGCATTCATGCCTGAAACAGCTTCCTGGTGTCACCTGGCCCTGCTAGCTATGTTTCTTTTTTTCTGGTTAATTTTGAGAACTCTGATATTGGGTGGGGCGCTGCTCATACAACACAGTCTCACGGCATTTCGTGTTAAAGTCACAAAATTAATCTATTGATTCGTGTTCACCAACACAATTTCGCAATTTTTTTCGTGTCACATAGAACGATTTGAAAAGCAATGCAAATAATAACAAATTAGAAGGAAAAACAGATTTAAAAAAATACAGATTTCAGTATTCTGACACAGAACGATTTTAGAAGCAATGTATTTCTATTGGTAGTATGTTTCGTGCCTGCACCAAATAATAACAAATTAGAAGGAAAAAAAGATGACAAAAAATACAGATTTCAGTATTCTGAGGCTCTTTGCCCCATTTCCTTTCCTCGCGGACGGCAAAAAAACTCCGACATTATACAATTTAAAATAAAAGGGATAGGGTTAGGCTTAGGGTAAGATATTGAGTAAGAACATTTTTTTATGAACCACACAGCTTCCGGTCTTCCAAGACCCGACCGGACAAAAAGACGTGGTGCAGGCACGAAACATACCACCAATAGAAATACATTGCTTTTAAAATCGTTCTATGTGACACGAAATCAATAGATTAAATTAATTTCGTGACTATAACACGAAATGCCTTGAGACTGGGTTGGCTCATACCCAGGAGTGCAGATGAGTGGAAAGAGGGCCAGACACACATGCATGTGAGGTTAGCTTCCATCCACTCGCTGACATCCAGTGGGGGGGTCAACACCAAACCAACGATGGGGCGAACTGACTCCCTCCCGGACAGCGACATGCACTGCCTTCCAGTTAATCCAACCACAAAACGCTACTTTGGTTCTTTAGAAGGATTAATGCTGGTTCCAACAATTTTATCTTTAAGGTTATTTAATACAAAGAAAGAGACGGAAGTTAAAAAAAAATCAACAAAACAAACAAACAGTGCATACAGGTCATGCAGCACAAGATGGCAGACAATGCTTTTATGAAGAAAGAAGGCAAACAAATACTGATAAAGACAAGACAACAAGGCACGATGACAGGCAGGAGATTCGACCAATCAGACAGGACATAGGTTAGATGTAGGCAGTTCTTACCAATGCGGTCCAAACGGTCAATGGCGACAGTTTCGAAAGCGCGTCGCATCATGGGGTACTCTTCTAGCACCTCATTGAAATGATCAACAGAGAGGGAGAAGAGTCGGCAGTAGGTGTCTGCACGCACACTCGCTGTTCGTCTGCCCTTGGTGAGCAGACAGATCTCTGCAAGGCGGAAAACACAGGGAGACAAAGGAGGACAAAGAGTGAGAGCATAAAACATTTGACACATAAAGAAGCACCAACTGAAGTGGAGAGTGCAGAAGGACATTAAGGAAATCACCCCAGTAATTGCAATACAGATTACCTTACAGATGAACCTCTACTACAAAAGGTACGGAAGCAGAGGCTAATGCGAATGTAAATAAAATGAGAAGCCCATCAGCGTGGCTGTCACTTGCATTATATTGAGATAATTCATCATCCTGCAGAGAGCTACAGTAATGGTCCCATAATGTGATACAGTAGTCAGCTATACAAAAAAGAAATGTAATGGATAACTAAGTAGAGGTATGTTTACGCAGCATTCCTGTATGCCTGATCAGCCACTGTGGTTTCTCAAAGATGTAAAGTGAACACATTCATCAAAACACTTGACCCTTGGCATCAGATAACAACGTGGCATTAATCTTGTTTCCTGTTGGTGTTAGCTACATTTCCTCTAAAATCAAATGTAAGATAAACAATTGAGATTACAAATGACGGATAGGAAAATATTAACAGAAAAATTTACTAATTGACTTGAAATGATACTCCTTCTGGGACCTCTATATCAGCATATGTATATGTTTAAATTTGTTGCTAGTCTAGATGAAGCAAATTGTTAACTTAAATAGAGTTAAATTGATTAGCCAATCAAGTGCTTCCCACCTTAGATAAATAGAGTTACATTGATTAGCCAATCAAGTGCTTCCCACCTTAGGGTCTGGACCCCTCCAAAGGGTTGTAATGGAATACATTTTAATTTGGCCTTTTAGTGAAACTAAGTGCTAACAAATCTTTACAAGATTAATAGGATGATTAGATGGCTCATGGTGACTTTAAAAGGTTATGCTGTTGATTAAGAAAGTGATTTTTAATGAATTTGAATGACCTAAACTACAAAAAAATAGACTAAAAACCCAGTTTCTACGATACAATAAGATGATTTCATAAAACATGTGATAATGAAACCTTATCTTAGTATTATCACGACTTTTAGCTGCTTGTATAGACATGCAGACCAATCTGAATATCCTCACTTGAGCATAGCATCACAGAGCATTGAGCTAGTTTAGTGCACAGTCAATAATGTGTTGCTGTAGATGATATAAGGTGTTAACACCTGCCATTCACTGCGCCTGATCTCCCCTGTGTTTTCATGAATCAGTGATACGAGGCAGAGGGCTAAATATCTTTCTATCCGCCCACCATTCTTTCATCCTACACTTGTTCTTCTCTTTATAAGGTGGAAAAACAGTACCCTTCTAAATATCATCTTCCTTTGGCTTCTGTTCAACCACCAACACCACTCAACCTCCACCCACATTTGCACTTCTGTTGAACCTAAAGCACAATTTCCATCTTCATTAAATCCTTAAATGTTAACTTGTCGTGATGACTTGGCCACACCATGAGCTGTCATGAAAATAGAGCACAGAGTGTGAGAGCAACAGCCTCAAGCTGTGGGTGTGAATAGGTGTTAGTGCTGTAATGATGAAAAAGCTCCCTTAAGTTGTACCTCTGTTAAAGCAGAGAAAAAATGACAAACGGAAAGAAAAATGTGTCTTGTTATATGTCGTTTTACAAAAGAGGCAGACACAAAGACAGATAGTGAAGGGTTGATCTGAAGCTGTATGGTGCTGTGAGTTACAATCAGAGGTAAATGTGTTTTTTTCACATACTTAATGAGCTTCACAGGGGCTGTTAGACTGATTATTTAACCCATTTCCCTTGCTTACAGTCTTAATGCTAAGCTAAGCTGCCTTAAAGCTCTAGCAACAGACATGAGAATCAATCTTTTCATCAGAATCTCAACATGAAAGGAAATAAGTGTTTCCAAATATATCAGTTCTTGGAATATTATATATTGGGAATTTCTAGTAATACATGCATGATGTTTTAGTTTACTACCAGTAGGAGTCACTAATAAAGCAACAAAGATGAAAACTGCTGTTAGATTGCCTTGAATGTAGTACACACATTACAACGCTGTTAAACCGATACCCAACACACTCCATCCCCAACCCGAATTGGACCAGCAGTAAAATAATGGAGCAAGCAAAAAAAAACATGATCTCTTTACTCACTTTCTTCTTTTGGGATAGCCTTTTTTTAAACTGAACTCATTCATTTTGTCCGTCTAGACTGAGCTCCAGTTGTCAATGATTGTTTGAGAACATGAAGGGAGACATCGAACTGACAGAAAAGCAGTTTTTGTAAGCCACTTGTGTTCACCGTTTTAACACTATACTATTAAGCTGTCTTTGGCTCTTTTTCTGCTGTAACAAAGTACATTTCCCCTCTGTGGGACTAATAAAGGTATTCTGATTCTGATTCTGATATACACATGTATCACAGCAAAATGTGCAGCTATACTTCTGCTTTCTCTAAAAATGTAAATATCTATATATGTGGGCTATGTCTATTATTTAGGAATTAGGAGGGACCTAATTCAAGTAGTCAAGAAGTCAATGTTACTAAACCATGTTAAATTACTTATTTTACTCAACACTATTCCATATGAAAAAGAGTGGTAGACAGTTTCTAAGTACATTATCTCAACTAGTGTTCTCAGGTATAATTTGGAGGGACTTTTACTTCTATTTCCTGCTACTTAATACTTCTACTTTACTGCCACTGATATTCAAATATTGTACTTTTAAATGCCTTTCTGTTATCTGACAGCTTTATTTAATTTGAAGATTAAGATTGAGATAATAATAAAATAATAATACAACAAATACTTTAAAACATATTATGAAAGGTAGATACACTTTATTGATTCCTTGGTGAAACTAACAAGCTTCCTGGCAGTATATAAAGTATAACATCTGCAGCATTAAAGTGATGAATACATTAATGCATAAGATATTACTACTTTTTCAGCCACTGAACATTAGCAATTTCATCTAAAAAGCCTTTTTGTGTGTGTCCATAATTGTGCATGTGTTTTTTTGTGTGTGTGCGTGTGTATAAGGCAAGGCCATGTTAACACTTCAAGAGATTCAATTGACACGTGTCTGTTGCCATAGCCACAAAGCATCACACTTGACCCCAGGAGCATTTATGGAAACTTGCTATCACTTCCTGTGTCACATACTCTCATGGCAACTGCTCCCTTACTCCTTACATGGTTGTGATTGAGGAGAGACTCAGAGTCCCGGGTGACTGAGGCATTCAAGCCCAATGGGGATATCCATGCTCTGTCTGTCATTATCTTAGCATTACACTCGATTAGTCCCTTAGCCTCACAGTGACTTCACTACAGAGCTATGGTACCAATATGTAATACCAGACTACTATGATACCTTAACAGCATGCAGGCGCGGCATTTACCGTTTCTGAAGGCGCAGTGTGACCTACTGTCCTCATAGATGTCCTGCTCATCACTATGCTAATAGTTTCATGTGGCTGGGCTCCGTTTTGATGCTCTGCTCTGCCTCCCTCTGTGTCTGTCTCAGTCCCCCGCACCGATTTCTCATTCTGGCCACGGTTTGGCCTGGTTGTAAGGGGAGTGTGAATCATCGGGAAAAAGGGGCAAGAGTGAGATGCCTAGTACAGCCAGCTGCTCCCAACTCATCTACTAATGCCGTGCAAACGGGTAAGAAGACCAGCTGGGCAGAAGGCAACAGCAGGTGGCCCGGCACAGACACAGCGATATGAACAGTGCAACCTTTATTATTTGGGCGGATATAACACAAATCCTTTAATTAGAAGATGAAATGAGAACAACTAATGTATGTTCACTGTTTTATCTGTATGTTATTCCCTTGTTATTGAACATATTACAGATAATAATCTTATACTGTGAACTGTCAGATAGCTTACTGAGCTGGTATATGTAAATCTCTGCACAGAATGAATCAAATGAATGAATCAAATACAACAAACTAAACCTAATATTTTTGTGGTACAGAATAACCTTCAAACTGTTTTAGATAAAGCAAACAGTAAAGCTGCCTCAACACGTTTCCTGGATTCATCAATTTGGTCTGAAGAGGTCAATCTTCATTAGAGCAGTTGGTTGGGACTCCTATTGGTGAACAGTCTAGCACAATAAGTCCTATAGGAGGCCTGGTAATTGTTCATTTCTAACTTTATACTGAGGATGAGATCTGAAATGATTACTCACTGAATCAATAACTTGATTGACAGAAAATCTTTTGACAACTGTTGATACATTGTTCTTTGTTTCGAGCGTCAAAAGTGTGAGGATTTGCTGCTTTTTGGTTTATATGGTAAACAAAAATAAATGTGTGGGGGTTTGAGCTTTTTTAATAGGTTTCTCGGTTAACTGAGAAAATAATCAGCGTATTAATGTACCGTAAAAATAATGTTTGGTTAGAGCTTTATTGCAGTCTTTAAACTGGATTTTGTTTTGCCACGTTAGTGAAGCAGAAGATTGAAATATCATTATTTCTTAAGTTGCTATGGCAAACAGCAGTTGCTCCTTTGCACATTCAGTGCATACGGATGAACATTATCATTATTCTGAAATTGTAAAGGCCACCTAGTTAATGTAAATCCAAACATTCTCTTTTAGCTCTGTTTGTGGTCTCCTCCAGCTTCTAAAGGACACATCTGGCTCTTTTGATGGTAAATGCTACACAAGATTCAAAAGCTTTGTGTCTGAACTGTTTGATAAATGCGTTCACACTCACTGCCATTAGGATCTATTTGTCAGAGCCCTTTTCCTGACATCTCAGCTTAGTTTCTTAAACAAGATCTACTTGTTCTGTGCCACAATGATTCTTTAGCAGGATATCTCTTGAGCTGCAGCCCCAGAGGATTAATTGTTTGAACAGCACTGCCACTGCCACATATCTTCCCATATGACATGTCCACTCCATGTAGAATTCAAAAAGCACCCACTCCCCCGGCAACCTCATATTTAAAGCAAGTAGCTTTCTACACTTAGTAGCATGACAGCAATCCTGTGGTTTGAACAAGCAGAAAAAAGGACGACTGATTTCTTTTTTTCTTGACTCACTGCCTTCCTTAGCTCGCCTGTGAGACATGAACTGAATGGAGCAAGACACACCAAAGCGAAAGTATTCTTAGACTCCTCAGCCTCTTTCCATAGTGGGAATGAACTCAAGAGATAAAATATGCAAGAACCTCTAAAATAGGAAACTTTGCTTTGCTTTCACATTGACAAAACCTGCAGGCAGACATTGTCGTGTCTGAGTAAACAACGTGCAATGCGATTTCATTATTTTAAATAAAAAATGTTATGATATCTGTGATGTTTTTGAGAGCAAATGGGAGTGGTGCCCAGAGAAAGAGAAAGGAGAACAGAACGAGGGAATAGCTGCTGAGTTTACACAAAGGAAACGACTGGCTGCTCTTTTCAGTGCCAAGTGTATGCAACAGGAACCTATGGAGGGGTAGAAGAGTTCATCCATGTGCATGTGTGTGTGTATGCTAGTGTGTGTGTTTGTGTGTGAGGATGGGGGAGGATCTTCTGTATGTCCTAAAGGGATGCCTGATCCACGCCTTGGCCTATTCCATCGACCAGATGAGTGGTTACGTAACGGCAGAAGCTGACTAACGTCCAACACTGGTTAATGAGAATCGACATCTACAATAAGTGAACTTCGAACAGCATCAAACGCAAGACCTCAGGCTAGACTCGTGTCTCAATATATAACCGTAGACTGTGGGAATGCATGCGTGACTGTGTAAGTATGGCGCTCTTGCATGGCAGGACCCACATATATAATTCATATTTGCATTTTCATGTGGAAATCTGTGAAAAATAAATAATTCAAATTTAATTCCAAATTGTTAAGTTTTTGTTCTGACCTCCAAAGTAGGATCCATCCGTCAGCTTCATCTCCTTGCTGAACTTGGTGATGACACTCGCAACACCATGTTGAATGAAGTACATCTTCTTCCCCACCGTGCCTTCCCGGATGATGTAGTCGTTTGGTTGAAAGACTTCAAACTTTAACTTGCTCAGCATCCCCGTCACGAAGTTGGGGTCCGCGTTGGCAAACAAAGGCATGGTGGCCACGAGCTTACGGCAGTTAAAGTTAACAATTTCCTGGAGGAGAAAAAAACAAAGAATTATATTTCAATAGATTCCTCGTACAACTTGTTAGTCTTATACAAAAACCCAGCACAAATCCTTCATCTCTGCCGGCATAATTTGGATGCATATTGCTGCTTTATCCCTAATACTCCTAAAGCACTCCCCATCACTCTTGAGAAGAAACTTTTTGGCACGCGTGTCATATCCTGATGAGTTTGCCCTCTGGTGTCGGCTGCAGGCCATCTCTCCGGTCTCATCCTGTCCCCTCGGACCCAGCAGGAGATTAGGAGCTTGTTGTCTGTTTACCCACACATCTCTGTTGCTGTGCAGATGGAAAGTCGGGGCACTTGGCATATGCGTTGGTGTGTTGGTTGACCCCCCATGAGGGATAACTCTCCTCCAGTGACAACAGGACACTAACAGAGGGATAACCAATCTCTGGGACATTCGCAAAAGAGATGTTAGCTCAGCCTCAGATGCCGGTGTCGGCTAATGCCAGGGGGCTCTGACCTCAATCATGCACCAGAACTAATGAATTAGATTGTAAGCAATTTTCATGCCTAGCCAGGAGTCCTCTTGGGGAAACAATCTTTGGCTATGCCTATTTAAAGATGTGTCATATGGCAGAGAATAAAAGAAAGTGAGACGCTGGAAAAGAAAAGCAGCGAAGGTGGGGAGAACAGCAAAACAGTTAGCCTGTTATATTATATTACAGTCTTTGATGAAAAACTGCACTTATTTTCAGATGGTTTAACACTACAGTATAAACACGATGTACATTTTATTAAATTGGTTTTGTTACTCTGATAATGCTCTAGCAGAAAATTCAAACGTTTTGTGGTAATACAGTTGTGAGCAGGACCTTTTTCCTGCATAAATGGACATTCATATCTGAGAAATAGCGATTGAATTGCAAACCATTTAATGCAAAGACATCTTTATTTCCTTTTCTTTGAGTTTTTGTCTGCTGGTGCGTCACTGTTGACCAGATTATTCGATACTAGAGCCTATCAATTAAACGCTTTTTGGCAGCAAACAATCACTTATTGGATGCAGGAGCGACCTTGAATGCAACACCAAGGAGACTTTTCTAAGTGGTTTCAGCCCACAGCTGCAGCAAAGCAACCAACTGCTCAATGTGATGGATAACCTGGGGCAAACAAGTGTGAATTGATTTTCATTACCAAACGAATACAACAAGTAAAGTGTTCTTGGAAGGAATTTATAGGTACGGTAATGGACTTAAATATATAATAAAAGAACCCCACTCATGTTAAGACTCACGTCTCAGCAGACAAATTCTAAATTATTCCTACCCTTGTCCATAGCTTTAGACCAGCATGATTCACTGATGACTCATTACCTGTGACCTACACACCAAACCCAGAGCTGTTTTATCCACTGAAGCAGAGTTGTCACGGGAATATCAGGTAGTCATAATTGCTCGAGCAGCCTCAATCCTGCGCACCTGGTTTCCTCATGCAGGACGTGTGATAAATGACATGCCAGAATCAGTTAAAGTACACTCAGGCTGATTTCATGGGCCCTCCTTTTTGGTCCAAAGCGAGTCTGAGTGCTGGTAAGTGGAGCTGATTCTGATCCCAAATTGACCCATAAGTCAGCTCCCCCAAAATTGTGCCGGCAATCAGCCCGACTCAGCAAGCCCAGCCCCAGTGGGTCTACCTGGAAAGGGCCTGGCACTGAGCTGCATTGATTGATTTCTAGCTGCTAAATGGTTGGGGACTGGGATACAGAAAAGGGATGCAGAGACTGAAAAACAAACCTAACTGCTCCTTTCCTTTTAGCCACTTTACTACAGAGGCTAAGTGGGTAGAGCCCTGCAAAACAGAGAGGTGCAGCACTGACAAATTAAGATGCATCTAACAGAGTAAGCTATCATTTGTTACTGTTTGTAAAGTGTACAACGGCTTTTAGAGTAATATGATTTAAATAGGACTTGGCAAAAACAAGCTCATTATGAAAGGTGGCATTGGCACTCTCTTGAAGGTTGGCATTACTCAACTTCCTTTCAAAAGGATGAGAAGAGAGCAAGAGGTGAAGGGAGGTGTGTAGGTAGAAAATAAAGTGATCAAGGTGAAGCCTGGCTGTAACACAGGGTGTTTGCAAAATTAAGTAATTGAGTGTTTTCCTTTCTTTGTTTCACTCACTGTTCTGACATGCTCTAAGCCACACTTGTTGTAAGCCGCTTTTGATTACCTCCGCCAAGGAGTTCGACTGTTTGTCAGCAGGATTACAGAAAAACTACTGGTCCAATTTTCAAGAAACTCAGTGGAACTGTTTTGACTGGGCCAAGAAGAAACCATTTCATTTTAGAGAGGATCCAATTCATGTCTTTCTGTGCTTATCTTTGCTCACATGTGTTTTATTTGAATGACATCAACCTGCCAGGGACTGCAGATGGAAATTAGCCTCAATGGCTAAATCTGGCATGTTTACATGATGGACTCAAGTGCTCATGTTAATTAATGTGCATTGTCCTTTCTTAAATAAATAAATACAAACACAAATCACGTGGTTGATACATACACATATTATTTTTGCATTAGTCCGAACTGCCTGAGTAACTGAGTCCACTCTTCAAGTGCCTCTATCATTTTGTTTTGAATTGGGTTTCTTGAAAAAATATAAAACTTTGGACGATATAAAAAATTCTCACTCTATAAAGTTGTATGTGTATTCTCTGTATCCTTACTGTCACCTGCATCATAATGTAAACTAGTTTATTTGCTCTGTTTTTAATCAGTTAGATTTTCCTTGTCTGTGTCATAAGCATAACTTTTAATTGTGTGATACTGTCTCCAGGCAGGTTTCGTCTGCTATGCACTGTGGATTTGTTAAAATCCCTGCACCTCCCTGTGAGTGTCTGGGGTTGTGCAGCAGCTCCCCACACTACTACGCTCTGACTTAATGGGGCTACATGAAAGATGGTCACGACTCCTACGCTTGCCATACCCATACGCCTCTGTGTAATTACCCGTGTAATCTGCTGATACGAGGAGGTCAGACAGAAACTTAAAACTTACCACAGACTCTGTAATAAAGAGCACCATTCTTTTTAATGACTGCTTTTTTGTGAATAATATCCTCAGTTAATTCTCAAGCTGTGTATCTAGTAATTGTTAAACAGCTTTTTTTCATCATGTTGACAAATGCTCAGTGTGGGTTCACCCAGGATGCTTAGGAAAATCTGTTTTGCTTTTTTTTTCTCCTTTGACCTTGTAAAATGAGATGACAGGTGTTGATATTTCAGTTTCATCTCCAAATGAAAATGTACTCTTCATCTTCAGGGAATAAACTCATTCATGTTGCTAAACAGAAACCACTGTGACAGCTCACCTGTCAAGATTGTGTTTTATTATTTGAATTTTGAAGTGTGTGTTCCAAAAATAAAACCATGAAATGGACACTCTTAAAAGCATGTTGCTAAGGAAGAAAACTAATACATCCATTCAGTTTAGGGTCTTAAGAAAGAAGATGTCTCACCTCCTTCAGAGGGTCGTTGAGTTCACTCAGGATGTTGTCCTCATCAAAGATTTTGCCTTGGTAGCGATGCTCATAGTAGTCGTGGATTTTCTGCCGCATGTCTGCTGGAAGCTTGTGGAAGGACATGTATTGCTCCACTTGTTTGTACTGGGGAGACAAAGAAAAGCAGATGGAAATCAGTTGCTGCATAAATATGTACACCACATATCCTAGTGCTAATAAGCAATACAAACAAGCAGAGAACACCTTGAATAAACAACAGAGTCTACAAGAGTGTGGTTGTCACAGAGTGTGTATGTGTGTCTCGGTATTGAGGACAAGCCGTGCTCTCACAGTGCCATGTCCTGGCTCTGTGTGGGGGGAGGCAGAGACAGAACGAGGGAGGCAGGTGGTGAATGAAGGTAAGAACAAGTACAGACCCGGGGCTTTGTCAGAGCACTTCCTATTATCTCCCCCATGCAGGAAGCCGGGTCCTAATAGGCAGCCGAGCTATGATCTGATGTGAACTAGCAAGGCATACCTGATATCCTGGAGAGATTTAGAGCTGCATAGACAGCAAACCAGCAGCACAGAATGTAGGACTGATCATTTTTGCATGATTTTTCTTGCATATTTTTGTTGTAAGATGTTTAATTCTGAGCATTTGAGTAGCACAGATTACAGTACTGATGTGTTGCATCTGCCAAGGTGACGCCAAAGAGATTCTCTCTCTTTATTGTCTGTAAATCATTTTCTTTTTAAGTTAAAATGTATTGAAAGCTCCTTTTAACTTGCCTTCCCTACAAGATGTAAATGGCTTTTCATGACAGTTTATTGATTATAAATGTTTTAGCTAACTTCATGTATTCACAATAATTATTTAAAACAAAAATCAACATCAAAATTACATTTCAAAATGATAATAAAAATAATATGAAATAATTGTAGCAATTTCTGGCTTGAAATAATGAATACACCATTTTAGTTATGATTCTTAGATATTCAATATTCGTATGTTTTTTGTAGTTTCCTGTACTAATTCATACTGCAAGGTAAGATCAAATATCAAAATGAATCAAAGCAGTATTTGCAGTAACTATAACAATGTAACTATTTATGCAAAATTAGCAGTTGTTATGATTTTCCTATTAAAGAGTATATTTAATTTAATTTAAATCGCTGGTTAAATAATGTTGTAGTTAGTTGCTAGTTGTGCTTTAGAAACACATTTCACTGCAATGAGTTTCAGTTCTCCGGATTTAGAGGGTGAATCTCAAAAGATTGGATTCAAATAAGAAATAAATAAAAATGTATAATGATATCAAAACCGTTGCTGTTATTGTTGTTACTCACAGTACACTACACAGGCCAGAAGAAGAAAGGCAGAGGGATAGAGGACACAGATGAAAGAAAGGATGAGATACTGTGTCCTCTCTATCAGAGAGACAGATGGCCTGTGACTCTACTTTTTTTTTCTTGCTGCACATGCATGGCTGGACGCATGACTTTTCCATTTGTGCAATTCTGCCAGTAACAAAGAAGTAAGAACGTCCTGTTTCTGGTAATTAGTTTTGGAAATAAAAATCCGTCCACATTAACCTGAAGGTGAGTATTGACCCAAATGAGAGAAAATTACAGCTCATCTATTTTCATCAGTCTCTGTTTTTCTCACACAGGTTTTCCACAGACAGAGCCAGGGCCGTGAAAACAATCCTCCCAGCAGGTCCAAGGCCCTGACACACTGAAAATAAACACCGTCTCTCACACTGCCTCTTGTAATCACAGTGGAGCAGTGGGTGAGAGCCAGCAGTAGCTGAGAGGACGGTAGTCTAGTCCAGTGTCAGGCTCCATGGCTACGGTGGTGCAGAAATGCCGCACAATATATGATTTTTCAGTGATGGAGACGACGCTTCTTATCTCTTTAAAGGGGCCCTATTATGCTTTTTTGGGTTATCTCTTCCCTGTAGTGTGTTGTATAGTATTTTGGGCATGTAAATGGTCTGCAAAGGCTTAAATCCCAAAGTTCCCTCCAGAGCAGGGGTGTCAAATTCAAGGCCTGCGGGCAAATTCAGCCCGCAACTTCATTTTATGTGGCCCGCAAGAGCTTTGAAAGAATATAATATGTTTATTATACGGTTACATGCCGCTGTACAGAAGCCCGTTGTCCCACAATGCATCTCATTTTGTGACATGCACACTGAAGAGACTTGCAATTATTGTCAATTATTTGCCCTAGACTTCTGCTTTCAGACGTAGTTAATTATGAAGTTATTACCCTATCCGATAATAATCCAATGCAGAGGCAATAATGTAATATAATTCATTATTTTATATATGTATATTTATATAGTCTTAAAGTTACAACAGGCCCTTTAAGTGCAACCATAATGCTAATGTGGCCCGCGATGAAATTGAGTTTGTCAGCCCTGCTCCAGAGGAACTGGAGAAGCTGGTTTGATATATTCCCAAATTTGTAATTGTATTGGTTAATTATCCAGTCATACGTTTTAATGGAGTAATTTAGATAAATGCTGACTACATTCCTCCTCTCTATGTCTCTCACTGTGCCTCATATTCTCTCTCTCTCTAGAGATAGTCAGTACTACACTCACAATGGGGTGAACCATTTAGTGCCAAATTAACCCACTTCTGTTCTTGCCAGTGGCACTGTCAGCCTTCCTGTTGATATAATACAGTCAGAGGGGCACTTTTTTTATCTGCAAGAAATAATATCCATGGAAATATTAAATATCGCTTGTCATCTGTTCTGCAAAGAGGGCATCTTGATAAATGTGTTTTTAAAGAGACCTAGTGAGAATTTTATTTTTGAACCTATTTATGTCATCTAGGGAACAACCAAATGTGTTTGTATCTCTGGCTTAGAAAATAGCCATTTCCTGTTGTACAAAGCTGTTAAAATAATTAATTAAATGTTTGCAGAAATGTCATGACACTTAATTTAACAGTAGTCCAATTTCAAAAACCATTACGGGAAAAAATTATGATGAAGAAATAAACTGAACTCTTGACGAGTGGTAATGAGAAATTGATGGCCCTCATGTCTGGGCGGTAAATATGTATTTTTTCATCTAACTGTCGGCAAGACAGTGAATAAGCAAATCTCCCAAACATGTTGAACTAATCCCAGACAGCATTTTTGCTTCTCTACAATGCAAATGCTTATAGTATACAGTAGTATTTACTGTTTCATACTTAAGTGCCTTTTTGAAATATTAATGACACAAATGGCTGCACATTTAACTTGTTGAATGTCAGGTTATTATTTTAAAAACCTTAGTGCAGACAGGCAATATAGTTTATATTACACTCATTATGAAATAAGGCAGTGATTATATATGTCTTCACACAAAGCCCTACAGCTGATGTCTGCAGGCTTACAGTGACTCAGCTCTGAAGACTCACAGCAGGCATGTCTTGCTATACATTGCATTTCCTTCCACCCTCCCCACCATTCCTCTGATTCCCCCCCTGTATCTTTCTCACAGTTTCTCTCATTTTGTTTCCTTACATATTTTCAATGAAAGCCTTCCTTTCTTTCATCATGAAGTAGTTTTTATTGTAGCTTATCATGTCGACAATAATCAAGCTTTGTGCAAGTTCAATCAGGAAGAATACCTACGTTACTCATTCTTTCTCCCAATTCCCCAGCTGCCTCTAATAGGCCTGTATTGGCGTTAACCTTTTGCCACACATAGCCAATCATTGTGCTGCAGTTAAACCTTAAATATGTGCTTCTCTTCCCTGTGATCAACTGTCATTTCAGGCAACATGGCTGCGACCCTCATCCACCCCCTCCACCTCCAGTGCCCAGGTAAAGCTCATCACAAGTCCACTCCTCACCAAATCTCACTCTTTATCCTATCAACATCACCACCCATGTCTGGACCCCAGGGGGGATTCCTATTCTACCTACGGCTGCACCTCCCTGTAAAGATACATCATATTACGATGGGGTCTAAATGCCAGAGACTTCCTAATTCGATCATCTTGCTCGGGTCAATAAATATTCTTCAATCAGAAAAAAGTCTCTCCTGATTGGAATAATAACTTACATGAGTCTTTCCCTTCCCTTGTCATCTTCTCATAAACCTCATCTGTCCTTAGCTGATGTCTAAACTCACACCAACACCCCTCTCTGCGTGTTACCGCCCCCCCCCCGGCTGAGGCAGCGATAGATGTAATGTCTACAGGCTGAGTCCCCTGAACCCATCCCTGCTGCTCCTCAGCCTGCTCCACTGATATGCACAGCCATGCACAGCCATGCAGCAAATCAGCCCGAGCAGACTCTGGCTACACACTGGGGCTCTGATACTGCAAACATGGCATTCGCAGCTTCCATGTTGTCAGTTTGATGCCCTGGGGGAAGTCGAAAGGCCAAAGTGGGATGTAGATTAAGCCGATTTGCTGTGAAGCAGATGTACATCACATACTGAGAAAGACACATGTCACTAACTCAAACAGTGACTTCCAACCGCTGACTTGTTTGCTGCCGGCGACCCTCAGCCATTAATTTTTGTATAAATGTGCTCTGACATCGGTTAATCTTGCAACGATCAAACATATAACCACGTTTTCAATTATGATAAATTCCCGCTTATAAGGAAATTGGCTCCATGCTGGGAATTCGATTTGGTGTTAGATAGTGGTGTTTTACGGAAAAGGGCTTTTTATTTTCTGATCTGATATCAGTTCAGCTGTCAATCCATACCTGAATAAAAAAAGACATGCAGATTATTAGTGTAAGGATGGCCTTTTTCCTTATTGCTATCTTTTAAAGGATGATGACACTGAATAATTAGGACTCATGATCCCATTTAATTTAACTTCTTTAGCGTGATGTTGACTAGACTCTCCTTATGTGGAATTTCCACCTTTTCCTTTCTTTTGTTTTTGGTTGTCTGTGGCTTTGTATTATAATGACACTGCAGCAATTAGTATTGTGTTTTACATAAAGGAATAAAAGCTTGTGCACCTAATGATGAATTTTAAGTGCCATGTATAACAACACTGCAACACTGCACCAAAAACGTCAGAGCAATCACAGAGCCGTTGTTTCTCTGGATTTTCATTGACCATGGAAGCAGATGGCAAGGTCAAGCCATCCTTTTAGAATGAATAGATAACGGCTAAATGCTTTTATGTGCGCGGTAATGAAATGGTATTTTAGCATGTCCTGTTGTAGTCACAGCCAAGGTGACTCTGCTGATGCACTGATAAGAATCATGGCTACAACATCCTGCAGAATAATTGATGAGTACTTTCCTGCCTTTAGGTGTGTCTGTGAACATGCTTTAATAAAAGCAATTGGCCTTCAACTAACAATTATTCTTTACGTATTATTTAAATTGCTTAAAAGCTGAGAAATATGGTTGATTCATCGATAAGGTGGTTAACAGAAACATTTTAAAATCATTTTTCAAGAATTTGTTTTTAACATTCACTGAAATGCTGCTGCTTTCCTTTGTCATTTATGGTAAAACTCCTAGGAGTAATGATAACCATTTTACAGCCAACACTTTAAACTGAGAAAATAGTCAGCAAATAATTGGATAATGAAAATAATAGTTAGTTTGCACTAATTTGCTAATTATTTCCTTGATATGTAATCGGCCTATTAAGTGTCAGACAATTGTTAAAAATCACAATTTAGTTTTCTGTACAAATAGTCCAAAACCACCAAATATTAGCTTTACTTTAACACAACAAAGAAAATATCAGCAAATCTGAGAAATTATGAGAGTGAGTTTTGTATTGTTGCTTTAAAAGACACTTACAGTTTAAGCTCTAATGCACATTGTGTAAATAATAATTTTATGACTCTTTTTGCATCTCCAGAGCATTCCCAATTTCTGTTTATTGCATTTTCACTTACAGTAAATGACATGAAATACTGTTTCTGTTGACATATTATTCATATGTAATAGAAATATCAGCATACATCGCATATTAATCCGTCCATCTGTGTTTACATAATCTAGTTCAACAAAGAAATTCAAGGTCAGATATGATTGAAATGAAGAGTTATGTCCTTAAGTGGATCAAGAAAAAAGAAGACTTTAATCCCCCGAACTACAATGCTGTACGTACATTGAGTTCTGCAGAGTAAGCGAAGGAAAACTTTTGTGAGTTAAAGTGATGTTCTTGCGTGCGAGCAAACACAGAGCGCATCAGTCATGGCCGTGTGTTCTGGGAATTGCCCAGGCCCCTCAGCGGGATCACAGATGGTGGCTCGGATGAAATGCTGGATAATCACCTTCCACACGAAAAAAAAAAATAGCAAAAAAACGAATGTAGTTGGGACTGCAATGAAACGGAAGAATAAAATGTGTTCGCTGGCAGCGGAGGGACGATGAGGTGGCAAGTCAGGCCACAGACCTCCTCACCCCGTTGACCTTATGGGATCGGTTTGTGGAAGAAAATCCTTTTTCCTTGTCATGGCCCCAACAATCGTGATCTGTGAGAGCCCATTGGTCCATGAGGGCACTGAGAGAAGACCTAATTTAGCTAAATTGAGCTCTAATGAGCAGGAAATTCAGCCCAAAAGATCAAAACTCTCAGATACTTTAAGACCATCACGCTTGTTATTAGTGTTGCTTACCTTGAAACAAGAAAACATTAGATACACTAGCTCTATCTCCGCACCGGCTACTGGGGGCTTGCTAACTGTAGCTAACGATTGACTTTATAAGGCGCGGAGCCACGCTTCTATCGCTTCAATTCCTGCCTCCAACCAAGCAACTATACTACATTTAACACATCTAGGCTACCGTTATTAGAAAAGGACGAAAAAAACGAACATGAGACAGGTAGAACAGGAGAGAGCACCAGAGGGTGGGAGGAAAACCTTTGCTAGCTATCAAGCTACGTTAGCTACCATTAGCAAAACCAAAAGGAGTGTTAGCAACTGTGGATTTATCCAGAGCCGACAGGGGTGTCAAACTCAATTTCATCGCGGGCCACATCAGCATTATGGTTGCACTCAAAGGGCCGGCGGTAACTTTAAGACTATATAACAATACATATATAATTATTTAATATATATAAAATAATGTATTATATTATATTATTGCCTCTGCATTGGATTATTATCGGATAGGGTAATAACTTCATAATTAAATACTTCTGAAAGCAGAAGTCTAGGGCAAATAACTGCTCTTCAGTGCGCACGTCACAAAATGATTTAAAAAGAAAAGCCAAATTCTGGAAAAATCAAAAGTCAAAATCAAAAAAAATAAGTGACATTTTTGGGGGGGGGAAAGTAACATTTTGAAAAAAAAGGCAAATTCTGAGAAAAAGGCATATTTGAGATGCATTGTGGGACATGTAGTTTATGGGCAACGTGCTTCTGTAAATCGGCATGTAACCGTATAATAAACAAACAATATTCTTTGCAAGCTCTTGTGGGGCCACATGAAATGAAGTCACGGGCCGGATTTGGGTGCTTGAACTTTAGAAATGTGTGATTGGATGTACAAGGTGAAGTTCCTGCCATGACCAAGGGTTTTAACAAGATCAACTTTAGTTAGGCTAATATAAGCTATAAACAGCACAAACATGCAGCAGCACAGACAAACAGGAGACCTGGAAGTGACACGCTTACCGTACCGCCTCCGAGTACATCCAATATCATATGAACCCGATCTTATTCACATATCAGGTGTTTCATGGTATAACGTGACTGTTTGGTGCTTACCTTCTCCTGGTATTGCCTGCGCGATGAGTCCAGTGATTGAATCAGAGCTGTGGCGTGGCCCACAAACATGGCGTAGCACGTGGCCCCTACGATCATACTCAGCATGGTGATCCACAGGTCGGACATGCTGACCGGGGCCCGGGCGCCATACCCGATGCACAGCATGTGGCTCATGGCTTTGAAGAGGGCATAAGAGTACTGCTTACCCCAGGAAACGTTCTGCAAGGTCGAAGAAAGAGACAGAGAGGCAAAAAGGGGGGAGAAAGGGAGAGACAGAGAGGGGGGTGGGGGAGTTACTGCAAGGCAAGGCATGGGAGGAAGGCTCTCCAGCAGGAAGAATGGATAGACTTTCCTTTGATGTATCACTGAATCTCTATCAAACACTGTGCCATACACACTCTTCATGCCTCACAGCTAATGCCCTCGTTGAGTGGCTGAACTTTCTACTTGTCTTTTTTCTTCCTCTCTTCTTTCCTTCCATCTTTCAACACCCTCTTTGCCTGGACCTGGCTTTATTTATTTCCCATTTGCCAAAGGGAGCGAAACAGCTCATGTTTGCAAGTACTCCCAAATAACTTGCATTATTTACACATGTCGGAGAAATTGTTTCCCTTAAAGCTCTGGGCAACCACCACAGCGAGGGACTCCGAAAAATATCGTTGTTCCCCCTCTTTCGCTCTCAGGTTTGATATTTATAAGTGTTGTAAGGAGGATTCAGTTCATTGGAGGCAGGGGAACAGAAATAATAAGGTACAGTACCACACACACATGAAGCAGACATGTAACATATCAACTGTCTTCCTAGAGGAAAATGCATAGTAGTGAGTCACTAATGAACTCTCTTGTGCTCTCGCTAATGCTCTTTGCTACAAACGAAGGGAATGGCTGGGTGTGGGTGATTCCTCTTAACGCTCACCGCATGTGTTCCCCGCTCAAAGTGAGAACGTCGTCTTGTGCAGCTTTGACGAGTAATCTTCATCTCCAGTCGGGTTCATGAGGCCTCTATTATCCAATAATGTGTCCAGCTGTGTTTATCAGAAGCCAATTCATCGTGGACTTGTCTCATTACTCAGAGTAAGATGTTTGAAAAGAACCTGATCGGTCGCTGCCGACTGGGAAACACGCAGAGACGCAGCCAGATAAAAGTGCTATTCTGCCGCTCGAGATCAGCTTCTATGACTCCACTTATCGCTCATTAGTTTTTGACGAAATGCTAGACGGAGAGTGAAGTATTTATTATGAGGGATGGACATGTACTAAGTGAGCGTACCTGGTCTTTGTGTAAGTCTGTGAGAATTAAAAAAAGGACTTTTGCTTCTTTACTATGCAATGAAAATATAATGAACCCTGATTTCCAACTGAGGTGCTTTGTATGTACTTCGAATAGTACATAAAGAATTCATTGCTTTTTGTTTTCCAGACTTTTTCTTAGTCTTAGCCTCAGGAAAAGTATTGTCTCGGAGTCAGAGCAGGATTTAGACTCCTCATTAATACAGTACACGTCAAACGTATGCCTTTTTCTTTTTGCCCGGAGACATCGTTAGCAACCAAAACAGGCCTATCGAGGTTACATTTTGTAATCCCTGTGACTTCCTATCTGGAGACAAATGTGACACCTCTCTCCAGACAAGATGCTGACTCCTCCAATAACCTCACCTCCTGTGAACAAAATAATGCTGAGGAGGCGCTCCGCATAGAAGCCATATCTCACCCAAAACAGTGAAAGAAATATGAAACCTCGAGAAAAAAGGAACTAATCCCCGTCTTCTTTCGCTGGCTGACATAGTTCCACATGCCACACTGTAATATAGCACACGCTGGGGCCTCCTTTTGTCACGGCGTTGCTGCTCGACTCCACGCTGTTCAACAACTGGGATGAATGAGAACATTTACAGCTAATCATCTAGCCTGGATGACTCACCAATTCTCATCTCTATGCTGATTAGTTTATTCTTCCAAAGACTGATTACAAAATATGTGATAATTACACTTGCCAGCTTTAATAACAAACAGTCCGGTTGGCAATTTCATTAACACTGTAGGGTTCAAACTACTATCTATATAAAAATATCCACAGTTTGTTTTTCACAATATAAACCGAAAGGATATTGTAGCGAGTGTTGTATTTTACTGGCACACAACACACTGAACAATCTATTTACACACAAAGGACAAACCCACCCAACCTTGTAACGGGCACAAATTCCATGTGTGCGGTCATGAGCCTTAGGTGTCTTTCATGTGTACATTTAGCATGTGGTTGAGATGGTGGGCAACACGGCAGGATGTCTGCGTTGACATATTCCTATGCATGGAAAAGCAGAGAATTGTAGTTTTTCCCAGATGAAAACGGATAAGCCGGGGTGACTCACTTCACGTTTTACCTATGTGTCCTTCTGTGTGTTAGGTGATTGTCTACCCGGCATGAGCGTGCCATATAATCCCATCGTAGTATAGTTTATATAGGGCTTGGGAATTCAGGTCACATCTTGTTGCTCTGTGTGTCACATTTCTGGTGTTTGCTTATATAGAGCATAAGATGAAGGCGCTATTGTGGGACACATCACAGCAGATTTTTCCACGCAGAATCTCCCAGTGAAAAGTCAACCATGTTTTCCATCTGCCACAGTTACTTGCCTGCTTGTTTAAAGAATGGATATATATGTGAATTGATAAGGAGTCACTACCTATTATGAATTAGTTGTGGGCAATTGATAACAGGAATGTGTTGGTGTCAGTAGTTCATAGTGTTGTGAAAGATTAAGTGTCTGGATGAAATTTGATTAGACAAGATCTGCTAAGTGATGTCTGAAAATAAACATGTTTTGATATCTTAACAGACTAAACCGTACCGTATGATACTGTCAACAGTTCTGAAATGAACTGCTTGAGGTAAAATGTATCAATACATATAGTGGTGCGATACATTAAAAGCAATTGTAAAAGTTACATCTACAAAGTGTAGCTCTTGCTATTTGAAAATTGCAATCTTTTAAAATTCAACACAAAAATAACATTTAATACCACAATTATATTAGCTTATATTTCAACAGGTGAGACATCATTGATGCTATGTCAATTTAGAAATAACCAGATACAAATTGTTGGTTGATATTGTAGTTTCCTAAAAAAACATGGTTATTAGTTTTTACGAGGTTATTGATTCAGAAGGTATTCATTCAATATGGAGCATGAGGAATATGTTGTCAAAATGATAGTAAGGCAGCATTGGTAAAACAGGAGACATTGTAAAGGGTTTGTATAAGACTAAAAACTGGAAGGAGGGGTTGGAAATTGTATCAAATGGTTGCTGAATCAAATGTATTAAAGCCAATTGAACTCAAAATAAATCCTGTCTGTGATTCAATATATCGAGGAAGCAGGTGTTACATTTCCTAACATTTCCCAAGCAGGTGTTGTTGTCAGACAGAGAGAGAGAACCAAAGAGAGATCTTTAGTGACGAAGAATGATGCAGCAATGACGTCCGCATTATTACTCGTTTGAATCCTTGAGTTTGTATTTTTCCTTCAATTACAGAAAGTGACTAAGAGCAGGTCTGGTGCACTGCTTCATGATTTTAGCAGCCGAGCACATGCTGTACAGTACTTTATTTCTTTCATTGGTTTACAGAGTTCTTCAACAGACTGACATAAACTTGTCATTTCTCACAGTATGTTTAACGTGTGAAGAACTCTCCCAGATACACACATTGTCTAACTGTTATTTCTTGCTGGCCTCTGTTCTTTGAGAAGAGTGAGTCATTGCAGTATTAACACCAGCAAATGCAGCTTCTACTTTTTTCCTATTCTCTACAATCCCCAGGAGTTTAATAAATGTGGCTAACAGAAGATGTATTCAGCTTTTCCGCGTTTCTAAATATAATTAGACTCTGGATGTAGCAAAACAAGTGACATCAGATACTGCATATTCATCTCATGTTTAGAAGTACACCCTTAGAGTGAGTTCAGGCTTTATTATCACATGCATTTAAACTGATCATAAGTATTATAAACATCTCTATAATTAGACCGTGTTTGACTGTGCTTGTTGGGTTTTACAACTTGGGAGCATTTCGTCACAACATGGTGGCTCCAACAGTCCCGTCAAAAAGGATGTGACCAGTTATGTGACGGGGAAGGCAATCAATGCTTCATCATCGTCCCAGTGTTGCGTCACCCACAGCAGTGATTGTTATTTATACAACGAGTAACTATGAGCCCAACAGGAAGTAAAGCTGCTAAGGACAGGATTCGACATCTCATCAGCACCAGTGCTCACAGGGAAAATTACAACGATTAGAGATTAAGGACAGATGCACATTTGTTTATTAGCTGTCCTAGTTTCTCTGCAGCTTAACTTGTCATTAAAAGCAAAATAAATTACATTTCCTTTTAATGTGTGCAACTTCTGTTAACTTGTAGAATTTCCTTCTTAAATATGTTTTGGTGTTAAATTGTGTTTTCCTGTGTGATTCCAGGTAAATGCCCCCCTCGCGTGTATTTTTAAATCCTTACTTAGAAAGAACAAGCGTGCGCAAACATCCGCATTAACTGGTCCTAATTACTCAATCACATAACTCGGCAAGCTGTCCCGTGTTTTGAAAAAAAAAAGATGTGACGCACAATATTCATTTTTCAATTACGTAATCACACTACAAGCTGTTCTCCCTGGGAGGACACAGAAGGCGCAACAGTCTTTGAACACATTAGAGAGGAAGTGCAGGGGTCTGCTGGCCTGAGCGAGCACCAAACTGTACGTTGGCAGGAAAACAATCGCAGTGGTGCGGCTCAGTGTGAAGGTTGTACTTCTCTTGTTCAAGACCCTCAGTAGTCCTAATGATGGAGCCTTGGACCTGGCATGCCAAAGAGTTTCCTTTTTATGTTTGTTTCGTTTATTCAGGGGTCTCCGCTACTTTTCTCACGGTTCGGATTGGTTATACTGTAGTGTTGCAATTTAGGATTTCTAAAGGATTATGTGGATTCATTTCTGTATATGAATTGTCAGAGCAGAGTGATACATGACCAAAGCAATAACCTAAGCAAGTTCTTGTTTTGTTCTACCAAAATCCCAAACTATTCTGCTAACTTTCCCACAAAACAAAAACAGCAACACATCTGAGAGGCTTGAACTGATGAACTTGCCTAAAATAGTTCCCAATTAAATTGATGTCGATCGACTAATCTCTTAATCAACTCTTTTCGCCTCTATTTGTGGGTTA